TCCTCCTCCTCCTCCTCCTCCTCCTCCTCCTCCTCCTCCTCCTCTTCTTCTTCTTCTTCTTCTTCTTCTTCTTCTTCTTCTTCTTCTTCCTCTTCTTCTCATTCCCTTCTCCTCTCCCCGTCCAGGTTGGGCAACATCGCCGAAGTGGACCTCGGCATCGCTCCGCCCGTCATGAAGAATTTCAAAGAGTTCCTCCTCTCCTTGGAGGACTCGGTGGACGAGACGGAAGCCGTCAAGCGCTACAACGACTACAAGCTGGACTTCCGCCGCCAGCAGATGCAGAACTTCTTCCTGGCCCACAAGGAGGAAGAGTGGTAGGTCTCCCCTAGGTTTGGGACGCCCACCCTGGAGCGCGGGGGGCGGGGGAGGCACCGTTGGTTCGAGGCGGGCAACTATCCAAAATGGTTGTCTATTATTTAAAACACACACACACACACACACACACACACACCCCTTTGTAAGAGCCGCGGCTCTCGTCCGGCATTGGTTCGGCGTTTCTGGGTCTAGACCCCCCGCCAAGTTGTCGGCTTCTCGGGTTTCTTAACTTGGGTAGCCAACATCGGAGGGTGCATTAAAGCGGGAAAGGTTTGTGTGTGGGGTGTGTTTGTGTGTGGGGTGTGTGGAAGCCATTAGAGGTGGAGGGAAGAAGGCTGGAGAAGGGCCCGGGGTCGTCCCCCCCCTCCCCATGAGAGAGAGAGAGAGAGAGCGCAAAGGGTCCAGCCAGTCTTCTCCTTCCTGACCGTGGGCAACTTTTGAAAAGTTTCAGGGTCACCAAGAACACTTTCAATAAAATAGAATAGAGGAGAATAGAATAGAATAGACTGCTTTATATTGGCCAAGTGGGATTGGACACCCAAGGAATTTGTCTTGGTGTAAAACCTCTCAGTATAAATAAAATAAAACCTACATTAATCAAGAATCAAGAATAATAACATACAACACTTAATAATAATAGTGACAGGGTCCAATCAGCAATCTAATATTCATCTAATCCATTTTAATTTGTTTTATTTTCCA